AGGGCTGCCTTCTTTCTGGAAGGAAACAGATCCTCCTCTAGAGAAGGATCTGTTTCCTTGCTTTTTCCAGTGTCTAGAGGCAGTCCTCAGTCCTTGGAGCATTCCGTGTTCAAGGCAACAAATTTGCACTGTCTTCACACTACCCTTTTTCTGGCTCCTCCTCAGGCTTTTTGTCTCTTCTGCTTCCTTCTTTCTTTTTTAAAGAACTCTTGTGATTACATTGGGTTCATCCAAATAATACAGTATGTGTGTGTGTATATATATATATTTATTTATACATTTAATATATTTATTATATATTTATATATATATATTCATTTTAAGTTCAGCTGTTTAGCAACTTTAATTCCATCTGCAACGTAATTCCTCTTTGGTATACAATTTCACATATTCACAGGTTCCAGGAATTAAAGCATGGGATATTTAGGGGCCTTTATTCTGCCAGTTGTACTATCATAAAGTCTGACATGCTATATTCATTTAATGATGATCTGTTGGATGAGTGAGTTGTTCCCTACTCAACCAGCTTCTATAAAGAAAGAAACACTTCTTTCTTTCATGTACTAGGTAAAGGTGCTCACCTGCAATTCGCCTAGAGTCCTGGGGTTTCTTATTAAAATGACTCAATAGGTGACTGATGAAGAGCCCTAATAAAAACACTGGACACAGTAGTTAGAAAATTCTTTGTTACCAATTGAGTTAACTTGGGCAAGTCACTTAACTTGTTTAGGTTTTAGTTCAACTTCTGCCAATGTCTGAGGGCATATGATGAGGTCTTCAGCAGTAACATGCGATGACTATACATGCTTCTTTGATACCTTTGCTACTATGACTCCCTGAAAAACTATTTAGTCTTAGAAAGTCTCAGAAATCACTGACCATATCCATGCTTAAAAACTTGCTGATGAATGGTATATAGTGGAAAATAAGAAGTAGCCAAATGAAAGAATTACTTACAGATGATTATAATGAAAAAAAAAACCCTAACACTTTAATTTAAAAAAAAATGCTAATCTAGGTATGTTTGGATTTGCCAGAAAGAGAATGTGAAAATTGTAGTGCCATCTATTGGTAGTAATTTTTAAATAAAGATTATTATTCACAGCTGCTGAGTGATGTGACAAGTCTTCATTGTATTCATATTTCTAATGTTTCCTGTTTACTCTAAAAGAGAGTTTAAGAATGCATTTCATGCTCTTTTAAAAAAGGAATCTTGGTCTTTGTATTATCATTACACTGATAGATCGTGGAAATCTTGTTTGATTTCAGGTCTAAATTAGGACTAGGGAGAGAAGGGGGATATATGTGTGTCATATGAAATGTGGCTGAAGTTCAGAGAAATAGCTTTCATTTAATAGCTGAATACTGAATGACCTCACCATTCTTCTCCCCCTCTGGCAGCTCACCCCGTGAGCGATAGAGAAGCTGTCTGCATGAACTGAGGAGTAGCTGCTGGCCCCAATGTGATTTTGCAGTGATCTGTGTGCTCTGTGGCTTCCATCATAACCAACAAATCAATTCCCACTATACGTATTACACACCCCAGTGGCAGAGGCCATTTATTATCCTTTTGATGGTCATACCCTTTGTACATAACCAAGAAAGATTGCAGAGGAAGGCAGGAGCAGTGGCCATGTGGATGAAGATATTCTATAATGGCACAGCCTTTTATAATGTGCCTTGCATGTTACAAGAATAAAAAAGATGCTCTCTTTCAAGATAATTTTGAAACATGGAAGGAGGCTTCTTTTAAGAAAAAAATACTTAAAGAATGATATATGGAGAGAGTTGTAGATGTAATTCCATGGAAGTACCCATTTAGATTTCAGGTACAAATTCAAAATGACTAAAAGAAAAGCACTGTCTTTTTTTTTTTTTTATCATAAGGCCATTATTAATACGATTATACCTGACTAGCTTTGTTCAAATAATGAGCTTTTTAATATTTCTTTTATTTTTGACATTACCTAATATCAATTGATTATTTTGTTGATTTCTAGTGTTTCAATATATATGTTTTAAAACTCTGAATGATTGATTCAAGGTTTTTCTTAATTTTTTGAATACATTTGCTGTGGTTATTATTGTTAAATAATAATAAACAATGAATTGTGCTGACTAGGAACAAAATCACTAAATATTTTAAGTTAGATATAAATGGTACCTAGCAAAATTTTAGTGTTATTTGTCCTAAATCAAAAGTCTGGTAAACAAATATGTCCATCTGAATGTGGGTAGGAAACACTTTATTAGTGAAACTAATGGTAAATGTATGACTTTTAGAAGGGTTTTTACCATTAGAAGGTTCTGTGCAAAAGCATTTAAACTGCTTAGTTATTTACGTCAATGGAAATTTTGGAAATTTCCAAGTCAAAGAAATCTTTTCTGTTTTGTTTCATTTGAGATTTTCTTGTATTTTACAAACAATGCAATGCCAAATCTGCACCTGATTTCTCGTTCCCTTTGAAGAACTGTGACAGAATAATTAACTGAAGAGATCATGTATGGGATATTTTGATTCAGCAGTATAGAAATTTCTGGGTTTCATTTCACGTGATGGTAAATGTAGTGAGGTATTCTGGAATTCGTCTATGAGAGAGTTAGTCCCCTGACAATATTACTGTATATAAACCAGAGCCTCTTGTGGTCTGTTTCCTGTTTGAATGCTCTTCATGTGTGTAATTGAAAAGCATGCTCAATGCAAAGGCTGAAGCTGGCTTTCAGTTAGGTGATGTTCCACACCTTCATGGTGAAATACACACAAGAGCAACAAAAGGAACTGTCAACGTCATGTTTGGAGACATGTAGTTTGGACTATAGACCAAAAGGCTGTAATTACGGTTTAGAATTCTAAAGGGGAAGAATGGATTTTCTCTAATGTGTTGGTGCTGCTGTTTTTGTTAGTTATTTTCTTTTTTTCCTCCCAAAGACTCTTGTTGCCATTATTTATCTTCTCTTCTCATGGTATAATTGTCATTAAGTTTGACGATCTTCACAGAGAGATGAAATTGTTAGTGTAAAATCTTTTAAATATGTCTACAAATTTCATTTTTACTCTATCCCTAGCACTGCTCTGCCATGCTGTGTTTAGTCACTAATCACTGAACAACTTATTCTTGTACTAATTTCTCCTTTGGTAACATGTTTATTATTAAGACTATTTTTGGTTGAGGAATTTACTAAGTTATTCTGGAAAACCTTTCTAGAATAAAATTAGGCAAGTTAATATAATAATTTAGAGCCTAGTTATTATAAAGATTGATTACTGGTTTGATAAAACACATGGTAGATACCAATGATATTTAATTAAATAACAAGTATTTGTATATCCACATTTGTATCTCTCTAAGACAATCAAATCAATCAGAATACCATTTAGACAGGTTTCCCTCATTTATTGTGCTTGATAGAAGCCCAGAATAGTTCAAAGTAGCACTAGGAAGTATTGGAATAGAATAAAGAAGGAGAAGAAACAGATTGAGAGTTCCTTGTTTTGTGAATATACCACAGTGATAACACTGTTCACATGATTTTACATCTGCCAACCTAGTCATCATGCTGCCCCTGGGTTCCAGGTATTATTACTAGTTTCTTTTTCCATATGAGGGAAAAAAAAGGCATAGAGAGAAATTATACCCAGGTTGTCAGATTCCAGTTTTTAGTTATGCTATGGCAACTCCACGTATTCTTGAAACTGTGTGGAGAATGATTTCTGATTGTTCAATTATTTTCAGATGCCCTTAATGTTAAATATAGAGAAGAAACCAGAGCTAAATCAGAATTCTTTGTATGAGATCATTTTATATTTAGATTCAACATGAAATACCAGTATTGTGTTAAGGAGTAAAAAAGTACTAAGTTATACATTCTTATTCATAGATTTTTAGTGATATATCAGTAACTCATTTCAGTTTTAAAAATGATATAGTTGATCTTTATTGCACATAATTAAATCTAATTTTAATAAAGAGATATCATTGTGGGTAGGTGAGACAAGCAGGAATATATTATAGATTTTACCGATTTTCTAAAAATTAAGTTTACTATTTATATTAATTTATTTTCAGGTTTCTTTTAAAGTGTTCAATTATGGTAGAATACATATTATGTAAAATTTATCATCATAATCATTTTTAAGTGTACAGTTCAGTGGTAAGTATATTCACATTGTTGTGCAACCAATCTCTAGAACTTTCTCATCTCACCAAACTAACTCTATGTCGTGAGATGGCAACATCCCATTTCCCTATCCTCAGCACCTGGCAACCCCCATTCTGCTTTCTGTTCCTGTTATTTTGACTACTTTAGATATCTCTTCATGTAAGTGGAAGCATAGAGTATTTGTGACTGGCTTATTGTCCTTAGCATAATGTCTTCATCGTTCATTCATATGGTAGCATGCGTCAGAATTTTCTTCTTTTTTAAAGCTGAATACTGTTCTGTTGAATGGATATACCCCATTTTGTTTATCCATTCATCTGCCAGTGAACATTAATGTTGTTTCTTCTCTGCCTGTTGTCAATAATGCTGCTATGAACATGAGTGTGTGCATATCACTCTAGTCCCTACTTTCAATTGTTGGGCATATGTCTTCAAAAATCTATTGCTGAATCATATGGTAATTTGCTTTTTAATTTTTTGAGTTCATACCATACTGTTTTCTACAGTGGATGCAACATTTTACATTCCCACTAATAGTGCACAGGGATTCCAATTTCTGCACATCCTTGTCAATACTTGTTATTTTCTGTTTTTTTAAATAGTAATCATTTTAATGGATGTGAAGTGACACCTCATTGTGGTTTTCATTTGCATTTTCCTAATTCATGTTTCTTTGTGTTTTCCATTAGTCATCTATTATAACAAAAAAAGAAAATAGTTTTGAGTCCTAAGTATCGAGAAATAATTTCATTTGATTTTACTTTCTCAATGTCCTCATTATTATTTTTAAGATATTTGGCTTTAAGTCCTGACTTCATCTGTTGTTTCTTTGTTTGCAGCTGCTCTTCGGTTGCTCATAGTAGATACGGAGAATTCTCCAAGCATCTCCACTTTGCTCTGGTGTCAGTGTTTTCACAACTTCAATTAGCTCAATGGCAAAGCCAGGGCTTCTGGTACATTATCCTGCTGATGGCTTCTCTCTGGTTCCTGAGGCTCTACCTGCATTACCTGGGCCAGTGGCTTTTCCTCCGGGCCATTTCAATTCCTGTTACAAAGTGAGTACTTTCGCCCTGAAAGTCAAGAGAATGCATTTTCATCTCAATAGGACAAATGAAAGTACAAAATACCTCTCCCATCCTTTTACCTTAAGACCTCAAATGCAGGTATGATTTGAAAAGACAAAAATGTCTTTATCTAAGAGCAAGGACTTCTATTACACTTATAGTATCATCTTTTGAGCCTGTATATACAAATACATAACTGGTACATCAATATTTATTTGAAATTTAGCAGATTCAAATATGTTCTAATATCTGGGCAGAATCCAAAAAGGAATTTAGCAACAATGTTTTATTCTATTTTGATTTTATCAGAATGACTTAGGCTGAAGGTATTTTAGAAGTAACATAAGTGTGATTTATCACCTATACGCAGAGAAGCAAAGATTGCTTCTTCTGTAAAATGATTGAATTCAAACAATTACCAAACTCAAACCCAGGCAGCTTTCTGGGCCATTATCCTCTGGAAAAAGATGACACCTTAAAGGTTATCTCTCCATAAACATGATTCCATAGATACTATAGATAGACAAACAGATAGATTTCAATACAAGTAAAATTCATTTTCTCAAATGTAGATGGTGCAGATAAAAATAAAGAAGTGTGTATAGTTTCAATTAAGAAGATTGTAAAGAACTTTAAGTATTTATAAAAAAGAATATATGTGTACATTTATATATATGCATACACATATAGTTTTAGATAGTCTCATGAAATTAAATCACAAATATATGAATTATGTTATAGAGTATGCAGATTTACATATATTAAATAACTGAATTTTCAAGGGTAAATTTTTACGTGGATATTTGCTTGCTTCCTCCCTTCTCTCTTTCTCTTTACTTTTTTCAGGGTTTCCAAAGCAGAAAAGACAAAGGTTAGTTTGGGCTAACAACTGCTTGGGCTAGTCGTTTCTTTGCTTTTCACTCTTTTATTATTTAATAGAAAAGGAAGCACTATCTTTATTAGTTGTTAATAAAATAAGACTGCAGAAAATATCTTGACAGTCTCGTTTAGCTAATTTCTTAGGCAATACAGGACATAAGATATGATATGATATTTTGCTGGCTATTTCCTCAGTCTGCAGGTTTGAATCACACAGAAACCTGTGTCACATCTTAGCTGTGAAACATAGCAATAACAATACCAGTAACAAGCATTTCTTCCATTCTTATTCTGTCAGGCACTAGGCTAAGCAAAGTATGTACATTACTTCATTTGACATTCACCACAGTGTAAGACTTCCTTTGAAGCAAAGGCTAAAGAGTGAATAAAATAAATAACTCCTTTTAGTAGAGAGCTGATAAGTAGAATTCACAAGCAGGATTAATTATGGAACAGCTTTACATAGGCTGAAATTCAGGGGAGGGAAAGACAGTGCCAAGTTGCCAAAGCAAGGCTGCTTAAATGTCTGTACTTAGACTGGATTTAACTCTTAGGTACTAAGATAGTGTCAAGCTGATCATTTTAGAACAACTAGGAAATATGATATTTTGATTGTTAGTGGTGGTAATGTTACTGCTATTGTATTGGGAAATCTAGCTAGAGGAATCACAAGTAAAATTAATCAGCTATGCTAAACCTCCAAAGAATTGTTAGATTTACATCTATTTCTCATTTCTGTTAGAGACTGACCCCTTAGAAAGTCTACTGGTATATTTTGCATTTTTAAATATATTATTAAAAAGTACTGTGTGAACTGCAAGGAAGCTCTTAGTTTACAGAATGCTCTGCTCAATGGCTCAAATTGATATACTTTCTATGGTTGCAGGGGATGCTTACAACAACAATAAACAGCATAGATTTTGCCTTTTCCTTAAAAGGAGATGTTGAGATGGTACCAAGGGGTCAGGAAAAGATGAAGACTTCTACCACTTAATTTTGGGGTACTATTAAGTGTCAAGTTTTCTGTATTTTAACCAAAAATATCACATAGTTCTTTAAATTGTTTTGTATACTTGGCATTTTGTAAAATTCCTCTGGTTTGTATGTGATTGCTTTGTTTCCTTCAGATTCCAGTTTTCCCTGCACACTGTTGAGCTTTGCTACCCAATCTCTTCACTTTACATTGGAGAAGAGCTGACTGTAGTTGTGGTGGGGCCTTTGATGCTGAATGCAGTCCTACTTCTTTTGGTTCTGATCAGATGGGGCTGTCAGCTACTGTTTGCCTCCTGCCCTGATGTCTTGTCAAAATTAATCATTACCATGGGACTATGGACAGTTCTAGACCCATTGGCAGTGTTTATAGTGGATACTCTCCTGGGGGTAAGTCAAATAAAATAATCGGGATGTGAGTCCTTGGCATAGAATTTAGCTGTAGTGCATAAATTAGTTGACATGGAAAGTTTCAATAATGATAAACATTCAATATTCATCTTAAATTGAAGTTAGGTTTCTCCTCTTAAAAAAATATGATTGTCTAATATAATCAAATTAAGTGTAATTTTAACTATCTTAAATAAATGCTTACAAAATATATAGGAAATCATGTTGGAGACCAATTCCAAGTTGGTTATCACATTTTCAACATTATTACAAAGAAACTTTATTTTGCAACATTTTTGGTAATGTTTTCTAATAGTAAGGATTTTTATAGGCAAACTTTGCAAAAAAGTTATAGTAATTTCTTTAATTGTCTAAGTGACGTATCTGCTTTATGATGTAATATATTTTCTGTAATAAATATACTTGAGAATAAAAGCTTTATAAACATTTCTAAGTAAAAAATAAATTTTATAACATTACCCCATAGGCATTTATTTTGACTTTTTGTTATGATCTTAAAGTGACAAGCATTGTGAATTTTCACCCTAAAATATACAGTTTTAGGATTTCATGATTACAAATGATGTACTAAAGAACATAATAATGTAACAATAATAGTCATAATGATTCTAATATTTGAAGGTTGCTTTGTATTTTTCAAGCACCTTTACACAATATATTTAATTGCATACTTACAGCAACACTGTAAGTTAGTGGGGCAAATATTCTTCTCATTTTACAACTGGGAGAAACCACTCATAGAATTGCATGACTTATCTGAGAGGCCATATAGCCACTTTACACTGAACCTAGAAGGAGGGATCCAGATTTCTCAATTCTGAGGCTGGTGTGTCTACCATTATGTTAAAATCTGTACTTCAAATTTGCAGTCAATATATTGTTTTTATAAGTCAAATGCATACTATCCAATTTCATAAAAATGTTTAAATTACTAATGAATTTGAGGGCTACAATTTGAGGCAAAATTGATGTGAAAATTAGTGTGATTGATTACAGTGTTGAAATCTCTAGTTACTTTGAATTTACAAGGCCTGAGATTTCCTAATAAGTGTTATTGGAATGTGCTGATTCTCAAACTTTATTCTGCATCAGAATCTATTACAGGCTTTGGTAAAACACAGACGGCTGCTCCCAATTCCTCAAATTTTTCTTTTGGTAGGTCTGGAGTAGAACATAAGAATTTGCACTTCTAACAAGTTCCCAGATGATACTGATTGGTCTAGGGAGCATAGCATGAGAACCACTGACATCACAGCTGCATAGGAAAATTCTGATGAGTGAACTGAGAAGACCCAGAAATGGCCACATAGCTTAGAAGATTAAAAACTCCAGCACAGGCAAGGTTCAGTGAGCCATCATTTACTTTCTGGCCTATTAGCCGTGACCTGCAACCTGCAATTTAGCAACTAAATCTAAGCTTCATTTAAGTTGCCAAGTGCTTTAGGTTAAATTATCAAAGCAAAATTAAATATATTGGCAAACAATGGGGTAATTCAGGTAAAAAACAGAGTCATCAAATTTTTAAAAAATTTCAATAGGCAAAAGAAGAGAAATCTAAATTTTAACTAGAATTTTATGTTGTAGACCTGGCCATAAAAACAGATATAAGAAAGAGAGCCGATAAATACTATAAGTAAATCAATATGAATACATATTTATTTATAAAATTATCTCAATTAATGCAATAATATTTAACATCCGATATAGTTTTCTTCTTAAGAGGAAAATTAAAAGTATACGTGTTTAGACTATATTCATTGTGCCAAGCAGATCATAGACATTGGGTGTTTTTATGGACTCTATTTTAACTGTATTTGAAATTGATTATACTATTGATAATGTGCTTTTAGAACTAAAGACAAAATTGCCTTCCAAGCTGTATCCATGAAAATATTCCACATGTTGGGTGCTACAGTAGGTAGCTGATGTCAGTAGAGCCTGTCGCTTTTTAATCTATCTTAGGTCACAGTATACTGTAGCATTGCTTCTTAAAATTTAACATGCTTGCAAATCATCTGGGGATTATATTAAAATACACATTCTGATTCAGCAAGTATGGTCTGAGATTCTGCATTTCTAATAGACTCTTGGGTAATATCAGTGATGTTGATCCATGGACCACACTGTAAGTAACAAGGTTCTGGACACTTTATTGAGAAGTCCTCTTTATCCCTTCACTTTGCTTCTTGTGAGACTGGGCTTTCACTCACTGAGGATTTCTGGGCTGCCCTTAACAAGACTAGGGTCCTTGAAGCTGAGTCCATAATGTTTCTTTAGATTTCATGTGAGAATTGCGACTGCTTATTTCTGAGTGGAAATGACCTCTGCTAGAAATGCTTAGAACTTTCTAACCAGTGCCATTGTTGACTCTAACCAGATAGATCATCCAACATTATTATGATCTAAAAACTGTGCACATTGATCCCATCAGTGTATCTCATTTCCTAGTCTCACTGCTAGGAATTGGCAGTAGAATCACATGCCATGAAAAGCTCATCAGTACTTGAAAGGCAGGCCACTCTGTGAAACCTCAGAACAACTGAACATTCCAATGCATGGCTGAAGAGGGAGTCTTTTGAGTCAGAAGTGTTATGCATCCTACTCCATCTCTAAGTTTTCTTCATCTTGCCGATTCTGAGGAGCTGGAGACAGCTGAATTCTGTCTACATTCTTACATCTCTCATTCTCCAGGCTGGCAGGAAGGAGACTATATTGTTGAGGTTTGTCATGCAGGAGATTTAGAGAGGAATGCCATCTGCATTCTGGGAGGACCACATCCCATGACGTCTCACAATTCCTCCCAGATCCCTGACTTGAATATTGAGTAGACAGGGGGCTGGGGCTTGGCCTCATGCAGTGCCACCTGTGAAGCCATTGGGGGAACATGAGCAGCTGTCACTATGACCTTCTGAGGTATCCTCAGAAGGATGTTTGCAGCCCTTCTGGAATGGCTTTTCTTATTCCAATCAGGTTCCTTAGGCAGATAAATAGCCAATCGGTCCACTGGATTCAAGGCAGCTAAAAAAGTGGGCAGACTTCATTTACTCTGGTACCTCCGATGTAATCTATAGCAATGTAGCCTTCAGTGTGAACATCTCAGAGCCAGTTTAGAAGTCTGTAACCAGGTGGAGGCTGACTTGGATTCTAATAGATGAGTAGAGCATGCATATCTTTCTCTACTTGGAAAGAAAAGCCAAAGGTGTGTTCCAAATGTGCACACATTATTAACTCTTAAGTTCCAATTTATCTTGTTTCATTGCAAATGACATCTACTTTTGCTGTCTTTTAAAAACCTCTAAAGTTGTATGTAGTCCATAGATCATCAATATTGGAATTCCCTGGAAAATTGTACAAATGCACTTGGACATGTCCACTGATTGAATTAAACTATTTACCTTAATATGTTCTCTAGGTGATTTAACAGCACACTGAAATTTGAGAAGTACTGATTTAAAGCCATGGTTGTTGAAATGTGGTCTTAGGACACAGGATTAGCATCATTTGGGGACTTCATAGAAATAAAAAATCTCAAGTACTGTACCAGGTCTACTCAGTCAGAAACTCTGGGCAGGGGTTCAGAAATATACATTTTAACAAGCCTTCCAGGTGATTCTGATGCTCATTAAAAGTTGACAACCACAGTTTCACATGGGATTGCAGTTGTCATGGATTGAATATCAATCATGAGACTCAGGTTGCTTGAGTTCATACCTCCAGGGCCTTCAGCACTTCCTTCCTACTCCTACTCTCAAGGTTTTTAAAAAATACAGAATAAAAATGGCATTATTCCTGCCCTCAAAATAGTAAGGTAAGAATAAAACACAAGAGCAAAAATCAAACAAAGTTTGAATGCAAACATGTCACTCAGCAAATAATTCTTGAGACCCTATGTCTTAGTTTGTTGTGTGCTGCTATAACATTATGCCTGAGACTGTATGATTTATAATGACTATTCATTGGCTTATAATTCTAGAATCTGGGAAGTCCCAGATCGAAGGACCAGCATCTTGTAAGGGTCTTCATGCTGTCTCTTCCCCTGGCCAAAGGACAAAGAGAATGAGAGAGCAAGAGATCAAACTTGAAGCTTCAAGCCCTGCTTTTTTAAAACTCGACATTAACCCATCCCTGAAGGTGGATCCCTCATGACCTAAACTCCTCTCATTAGACCACACCTCCCGACACAGTTGCATTGGGGATTAAATTTCAAGCACATGTTTTTGGGTGGACACATTTAAACCATAGCACTCCATTATGACTGTGGAATAGTAGGAAGATCACCAAGTTGGAATCAGGGTGAGCTTTAGCTCTAATACATGTGGGTCATATGAAAGATTAGAAACTACTTTATTGGCATAAAATATATACATTTTTGCTTCATCAATGAATCCAATATCTATTACGTTACCTTTAAGAACAGCAGAAAGTTACTTATCTGGCAGGGGAGATACCATGATCATGAAGGTAATTTTCCCAGGGCAAGGCACATACCTTGCACGCCGGGTGTGCTGACTCCTGTGATTTCCCCAAATGTGAGAAACTCGACTACATAATTTATGATAGTGGGGAGACTGCATTTGCATTCTCCCCTGGTTTCCTGCTGTTTAAAAACAGAAATGCTGGGCCATTGCTTTGTTAAACTCTGCTGTCTCCATGTGGCCCTTTGAGCTATGACTGCCATGTTTCCTTAGTTTTGGCCCCCTCCCCACCTTTGGGGAGGTGAACCTGCTTTCTCTCTCTTGCTCTCTGTTTAATTTACTTTCTAAATAAACTTTTCTTGGAAACTTAAAAACAAAAAAAGAACAGCAGAAAGACAAGAGCTAAAATAGGAGAAATGCGTAGGAACACTCCCTACTTGCTGCCTAAAGTGCTGGCAGCAGATCCACATTCTGCAAGGTAGACTGATTAATAAAAAGTAGAAAAATTAAAATTTTGGGGTAGTGATCACAGAGGTAGTAGTTGAGATTTGGAAACCTTGAATTCTCTGAAGTTACTGCCCAATCACTAAAGGATATTTTGGTCTAGGAAAAACAGATTAATCTTTGTAGTCCTCTGTTTTCATCTACACAAGTGATTTGGATATGCTTAGTTTTTAAAGTCCCATTTAACTTATATTTATATAATCATCCATTTTAAAATTAAATATTTTTCCCCCTCTCTTTTGCATTGGAGGAATGATACCTTACTTTATACTTACAGTGCATATTCCTTCCACTTGATATCAGCAGAGTCACAAAGGACATTCATATTTTATAAAACTCAAAGCTCAAAGATGTCATATGATGATACTGTAGGTTCTTAGCAATTTATATATATATATATATAAAATTTTTTTTTTTTTTTTTTTTTTTTTGAGTTGGAGTCTCACTCGGTCACCCAGACCGGAGTGGTCAAGGCCACCGCAGCCTTGACCGGCTGGGCTCCGGTGATCCTTCTGCCTCAGCCTTCCGAGTAGCCGGAATTACAGGCGTGTGCTACCACGCCTGGCTGATTTTTTGATTTATTGTAAAGATGAGGTCTCGCTGCCCAGGCAGGTCTTGAAACCCGCGGGCTCAGGCAATCCACTCACCTCAACCTCCCAAAGGCGCGGGATTACAGGCTGAGCCACCGAGCCCGGCTATATTGTTTTTAAAGACCTCATTGCTTTGCATGTATTTCTAATTCAATGTGGAATACGTATTTTCTTGGCTAAAATAGGGGCTTATTGTTAAATTCACCCAATGTAAACTTTGGTTTTTAAACTCACTAAGTAGCCTGATAACTTTTTTATAAGTTTCTAAAATAAGCCATCTCTTTTATGCATAGCACAAATTAAATTCCTATCAAAACTGCTTCAGAAAGAAAGGAATCTTTCTGCTATTATATTTAATTTCTTCATATCTTGTGCTCATTAAATTCAGAAGTTAATAGTACATAAATAAAACATAGCTTTTACTTTATGAATTGCTTGTCGAGTGCTTGCATTTAAAGGCTTAGAGGGAAAATGAGAAAAATCTGGTAAACCAAGTGTGCAAAATCCAGCATTTTCCCTCTACCTTTGTGCAACTGAAGATGTGGCAATCTTCCGTACCTAGATTTCATATAAACTCAAATTATAGTGTCATATTGTCTAAGTGTATTTGTATTCATTTAACTTGATGATCAGTCTTCCCATTCTTATTTTATTCAATCTGTATTTTCTTTTGTCAGCGGCTTACACATACTGAGGAGACTCCCATAGCTGATGCAGCAAAGCTCTACTGGATGTTTGTAAGAACCATGAAACCGGGCATTTTTGGCGTGGTGATCACACTGCTACTTTATATCCTCCTGTTCATCATTTCTTCTTTGATTTTATATTTGTATTGTCTCAGGTAAGGTGCTTTAATTATTTTGTTCTTCAGAGTGATTGACCTCCAGTCCTGAGAATGTGGTTAGAGAAGAGTACTTAGAGCTGTCCCTACATCACTACAATAGACATTCCTGTAACACTTGTCCTGAAGTGCAGCAAAGAAACTATCTGAATTTTAGGAAAATATTTTCCCCATAGTAAAGAGAGCTATGTTGCCGTGCCAAACCAGGGACCAACAGGAAACAAGAAGTCATCTCTTATTATCCAGTGACATTGGGGAAATTTCCTGGGAAGTGTCTAAAATCCTAATTTCTCCTTGTTCCAACCTGCTTTCTTTCTACACTTCCTACCCCTACCAACATCACCAATGATGACTCATCCATCTGTGATCTTGAATATCATAAGGTGTGGCTTGCCAGGTCATCAACTTAGCAAGTGATGTGTGAATGTGAAGAAAGGCAAGTAAAGCGACAACTACAAGGCACTATAAAAGTGTTTGGAGGAACTTTTACTTTCTTGATTGTTTTCTTTGCTGTACAGGTGATTTTTAGTTTGATGTAGTCCCGCTTGCAAACTTTGCTTTTGTTTTCTATACTTTTGGTGCCAGATTCATGAAATCATTGCCAATACCAATATCATAAAATTTTTCCTATTTTTTTCTAGAAGTTTTATAGTTTTAAGTCTTATGTTTAAGTCTTTGAGTTGATTTATGTGTATGGTAGACAATAAGGGCCCAATTTCACTCTTTTCCATGTAGATATCCAGTTTTCCCAGTACCATTTGTTGAAGAGATTATTCTTTCTTCAATGCATATTCTTGGTACCCTTGTTGAGGATATATTGACTGGATATGTATGGATTGATTTCCAGGCTCTCTATTCTGTTTACCGGGCTATGTTCACCTTTATGCCATTCCTATTCATTTTAATTGCTGAGCTCTATAATATAATTCAGCAACCTCTCATCTGGGTATTTTTCCAAAAGAACTGAGATCATGACTTCAAAGAGATCTTAGCATTTTTGTGTTCATTGCAGCACTGTTCACAATAGTCAAGGTGTAGAAACAACCTAATATCCATCAATGGGTGAATGAATAATTTTGCACACATATGCAATGGAATATTATTCAATCATAAAAAATGTGCACTATGTAGCAATGTGGATACACTTTGAAGACATTATGATAAGTGAAATAATCCAGTCACATAAGTCACATAAGGACTGCACAGTTACACATATATTAAGTATCAAAAATTGTCAAACTCGTAGAAGCAGAGAGTTGAATGCCAAGGGGAAGGATGGAAAAGGGAAATAGGGAGATGCCATTTAATGGATATAAAGTTTTAGTTCTGCAGGATGATTAAATTCTAGAGTTTAGTACAATATTAGACATATAGTTAACAATACAGTATATTGTGGTACAATATTAGACATATAGTAAACAATATAGTATTGTGCACTTAAAACATTGTTAAGAGGGTAGATCTCATGTAAAATGTTCTTACCACAATTTTTAAAATAGTGCCAGAAATAGATCAATGCAGGGATCTTCAGGACCATAGAAAAAAGGAACCAACAAAGGTCTGGAGGAGGTTGTGGGCAGTATCAAAGACTTCAGGGAATATCTAACATTTAGGTAATCTTTGAAACCTTAATGTATTTGAGTTATAAGCAAAGCAGAGGCAAGCATGTGTGCAGGCAAAAGGAAGGTGTATAAAACCATGTGGTCTTGAGAAAGTCATGATATAGTTGGCAAATCAAGTGTGTTTTGACATGGCTGCTGTGTAGGATATAGGAAGATGGTAGTTGGCTGGGATGAGGTTGGAAATGGTCCAGGACCAAATGCTAAAATAATTAACTAACATACTATGAAGCCTGAACTTGTTCTAATGGTTAAGAGAAAACATTGAAGAATTTAGAACCACTTTTGATTTTAGGAAGATCATTCTGATAGTAGAGGGAAAGGTGGGTTTAACAGTGGCCAAGGTGAAAGCAGGAGAATCTAGCTAGAAAGCCATGTTGAGGGTCTAGGCAAGGAGTGTCAAGAACTTTAAAGAAAATGACATGAAAAATGGAAAGTTGGGGCATATTTAAGAAATAATTAAGGGACAATGTAACTTGTGGGCTAGTTGGACATTGAAAGGGAGGAAAAGGATGACATTTAATATAACCTCAAGTTTGGAGCTGGGCAGATGAGGGGATGGCAGTAGCATTCTCAGAGGTAGGGATTAAACAGTAAATCATTACAAGAGTTAGATAAAAAGTTAACTTTTCTTTCATGTTAACCTTTCATATTGGCATGTTTTGAATATTTCCAAGGGAAAATATTACATAAGAAGTCGGGAAGATAAGTGTGGAGCTCAGGGAACTCAATGTAGGTGATGGATTTGTGACAGTTGATGTCTTGAGCTTCATTTTCTTACAGGGTAGAGACTAAATCACAGTGGGTTGAGTGAAGGATATGATGTAGAGTTGGTACTCAGTACTTTTTTTTGTAGAGCTATGCTATAAATGGAAAGTTGTTAGAAAAATATATGTTAAAAAGAGTTCTTTTAAAATATAGATGTGTTTTTCATATGTTTCTATGCAGAGATAAAAATTATAAAGGGAACAGAGATATTGAAAATACCTAAGCAAGGAAGGATAATTAAAAATATTGAAAATACCTAAGCAAGGAAAAGGTCTCAGAAGAAAGGAAGTAGAACTCAATGGAGACAAACCTTGCATTTAGGAAAAAGATCTTGTCTTTTGATGTGATAAGGAAAAAGGTAAATGTAAATGCTTAGAGGTTTGTGGCCGGGTGCTGAGGGAGTTCACATGTGATAGTCATTATTTTCTGTGAAATAGGAGGTGAACTCACTCCTCAAGTCTTCCTTCAGTAGACTGATCATTCTCTGATGCAGCCCTTAGGTCACTAACATAGCTGTAGTAAAATTGCCTAACTCTCCAGGGAATGTGTGTTGCTTTGGCACAGGCTTGGTTTATATTTTGACATGTCATAAACACTGCATGTCATCTTTCCATAGCACTTACTTTCTTGGGGAAGGGCCGAAAGTCTTTTCTGATCACTCAGTTTTCATTTGACCACTAACTTGTCGTATGGCCCTAGGCAAGGATGTTCATTTGCTAGATCTTAGGCATTTTCTTGTGTAACATGTTAAAAATAACATGTATGTGTAGATCTTGATAGCAGGCTCCACATGAATACTAATCACTCTATTACTTAAAATGATTGGGGGTTCTCAGAGACGTTAAAGAAATGTAATGGTATGACTTGTAGTTTAAACTGTAGTAGTATTAAACAGTAGGATTAAAACATTATTAGATGATATTCTGCACAATTTATTTCCACATAAATACAACCCTTCTCACTTAAAATGAATGTTTACAACCATACTCTTTATTGTCCGAGGTCTACATTTTTATTAACTAGATGACTTGTAAATTATAAAAAATTAAACACAGAATTTATGCACCAAATAACTAAGATTTAATATTTTGCTACCTAAAGCAAAAGGGTATGTGCATTAAAATACTCCCCCACCCCAAGGGGACGTATGGACAGGAAGAGGGGGAACTTGTGTAATAAATGGGGAAATGATTAAAGAAAAAACAAAGGTAGATAGAATGCCTGGACATCATAGAGATTAAACCTGGAAAAATTCAGGAAAAATAAACAAATCTAGTTCACTCTCTCAACCCAGCTCTCATTGTCTTCCATATGTAACCTGTTCTGCCCAAACTAGGCATACTTAGTTACCCCAAGCAGGGTTTGCTTGTATTTTAGAAGCAGATGCTGTTAATATTCCTTAGGATAATAATAAAATTATGCTAAACTCCCATGGGGAAAATATCTGTATTTTCCACATGAATAAATAGTTATTCTAATATATCAGCTGAAAAATATCTCTCCTTACTGCTGTGTGTAAAGTATCTTTCTCTGAAATGGCAGAATGAAGCAGCACTGCCATTTATGAAGCAAGCACTGTCCACAGCAGATGCATCCTGTCAAAGAAGTGGGGCTTTGCTCTTGCATAACAATAGTCAACAAGACATAGAAACAATAAAACTCATCTTAGTGGAAAACGCCAGTGTGGATTTGTGCATGTTGACTGATTTAGGTTAGCATCCTTAATCAAAATATTAAAGCAACAACCCTAATTCTTTTTGGGCTTTTGGATCAGTGCTGTCAACACAGAAGTGATAATGTGACTAGCATGATAGGAGCACAAAAAAGATCAAGTCTGTAGTGCTAGTTGCTAATGAATTTTGTCTAGCTCTGGGCACTGGAAGCTCCACAATATGGGACTGGCTGTGTAGGCTCAAGATTGAACCCTATTGAGTTTTGGCTGATTGAATCTCATTCCTCCAAGAACCTGAGTCATTTCTTGCTGAAAGCTTTCTGCTAGAAAAATTCTCACTCTCTATAGTTCTGAAAAGAGAGTTGTCTGGAACACCAGCTCATTGCCTCTGTGATGGGTACAATTATTTGGACTTGACTTTGTAGTTTTTTAAAAAGCATTAATATTTAAAATTTTTTTCTTATTCTAGAAAAAATACTTGTTATTTATGAAAAAATTGAAACTACAGGAAAAAAAATCAACAAATTAAAAAACTCCAATAATCTCTTATCTAGAAAAATAATTATTAATTTTTGGTAAATTTATTTTGACCTTTCATCCATATATATATGTATATTTTTCAGAGTTGAAATTATGTACTGTAAGTACAACTTCACATGTTGATTTTAAACTTGATATTATATGATAAATATTTTTATTTTCTTACTTCATAAGCATTTAATGCCTACACAATATTTTATTCTGTAGAAGCAGTAGAAAATATTTAAGTATTTCTTTATTGCTAGGCAATAGATGGTTTTACATTTTTGTGCATCTTATAAATAATTCTGATGAACAACTTAGGGCACAGGATCTCATCCACATTTTAAATTATTCTTTGAATAGAGTCCTAGAGGACCTAGAAATATTGGTTCAGAGGGTATGATGTTTCTGAGACTCTT